GTAGTCCTCAAATTACAACAGTTCATTTAGTGACTGTTCAGTTACAATGTCACTGGAAAAAAGTTATTTATGTCCATTTTTCATACTTATGACCATGGTCACTTCATCAAATTTTGGATGCTGGGCAACTGGTTCATATTTATGGCGGGGTCATGTGATCATCTTTTGCAATCTTCTGACAAGCAAAGTCAATGAGGAAGCCAGATTCACTTAACAACTGTTACTAACTTAACGACTGCAACGATTCACTTAACAAATGTGGCAAGAAAGGTTGTAAAATGGGGCAAAATTCACTTAAGAACTGTTTCATTTAGCAACAGAAATTTTGGACTCACTTGTGGTCATAAGTTGAGGACTATCTGAATAAGCATCATATTTTCTTAATGGCCTTGCATTATGACAATTGCCTTATTTTATTGCAGAATAAAATAATGGAATCTGGTGGCACATTTAAAAAGTGATCTATTTATTGTAAGAAAGGCTTTCATTGTTTAGACAGCTTTGTCAGGTTTGGGCAATTTTAGTCCTTAAAGTTTCACAAAACATTTACTAGTTTCAATAACCATGATGTTAAAAAGCTTACTTCTTCATAATCTTTTTTGCTCTCAGCTTGCAAAATTGAAGACCTGTTGATCAGGAAATAAAAATAAAAAACAAACTGAATATTTCTTAAACAAAGCAGGGGAAAGAAATGTTCAAGCTGTTGGCTTCAATTTGTTGATATATGCAATTCTTTAATCACTATAGCATTTATTCCTTGCCAAATCCCAAACAGAAAAACCCTGATGGACATTGCCCATCTATAATATTTATCTTTGGATTTTGGAGCTCGGCATATTTCACTTGAGCTATGTTCTAGGGACAATTATCCACTGATATTATCTCAGAGAGAATTTATGTTGTCTGAGCTTGTCTTTTGCTAATTTCTCTCAGTAAAAACCAGTAAGATTGCACAGAACAAGAGGAAGGTATCCCTATTACATTTTAGCTGAGGAGAAAACAGGCAGTTGGAAAGAAAAAGCAGGCAGATAACTTTTTCCTCTAACCTGAAAACAAGGATTGAACATACCCCTAACTTTTTAGAAAGAAAACAAGTATACAGTAGACAGCATTACACATGAAAATCTAAATACAGAATCACCTTCGGCGAGATGGGCAGCATACAAGTTTGACAAAGAAATAAAATGATAAAAAAAATAAGAAAATATATTTAGATTGCCACCTAGAGAGCAGCATCGAATTCTGATTAAATAACTTGACTTAAAGTAATAGATACTTGTCTTACACCTGCCAAATTTTCAATCTGGGAAAGACAAGGATTTATTCCTCTTTCTTTCCCACCTTTCAAGGAAAAAATTAAAGGTAGCAGGAAATACTTTCTAATTGTTTCTCCATTGCTAAACACATATGTAAGAAGTGGTAAGAATACAAACTTTTTGCCATCAAAAGATGTTATTTGAAAGCAGTATCTTCTGTCTTCACAATCCACAGCCATTACCGAACAATTGTCTATATCCATTACAAGGCCTCCAGCTACTTCACCTCTTCCTTGGCTCATTAGGTTTCCACCCTGTGTGAAGTAAAACTGTCTGTCCCAACTGGAAGACACCAGCCCTGTTTTGCTGAAGGAAGAAAGGAAGAAAACTGGCTTAGTCCAACCTAGCAGCATCAAGTCTCCAATGAAAAAAAAAAAGGTATTATAAGCTTTGGACTGGGGATAGTTTCATATAATTGAATGCAGTTATACATAGATTATTTTGGTACAGCAAGAAATACCAAGATAATATAAATAGTGCTTAACTAAATTTCTTAACATACTGTTTATCAGCAAAATACTATTGCTGTCACTCTCTCTAGTTATATACACATATGTGTTTGTATATGTGCCCACACACACACACACACAAAGACTCCTTGTTTAGGGCTTTAAAGATAGCTTCAAGGTATCGCCACCTTACATTCTTACTCCACAGCACACCTGTAGTCAAACCACAGGTAACAGTGTCCACGTTCATACAGCAGAAATGTTACTTTCATTCACTTCTTCTCAGACGGTCAAAAATATGATAAATATATTTCCCAGATGGTGAAAATATATTTATAGAAGGCTATTAAAAGTATGGGTAAAAATTATATTATGTCAGCTATTTCCACTAGCAATAATTTAAAGGACAATGAAATGTTGTAATGCCAAAATATTTTGAGCCAGGATCCCCCCCAAAAAGTATTACTTGCAAACAAATTTTATTTTGTAGTGCTACTTTATATACTATCTCCTGCTGACTTTAAACTCACTCGTGGAATTGTTGTGAGGATGAAATGGGGGAGGTCACTAGTGCTCCTCTGAGCTTTGGGGAGGCAAGAACAAACAAATAAGTTATCGCAATCCAGAGAGAGATGCAATCCACTTTTAAAGCTGCACCATAGCCTGCCTCTTTTAAAGAGGAGCTGCTGCAACAAAAATAACAAATGAAGGAGCAGCTGTTCTCCCAGGTGGATATGTCACTTCCGAGGTTTCTGGCCAAACTACCCTGAGACAAATTAAATTATAATATGTTGTGGCATGAAACATCATAAACAAGTTCATGACAAATCAGTACAGAATGCTAGTTGGTACTGGACATTATTTTAAATCTTAAAAACTATGAACTACTAATTATTTTTTACGTACAACACAGTTTGCAAGACACCTCCCCATAATTTATAACCAAGAAATTGGTTCTTACTTTCTTGCATTTAGATAACCAGCCTTGCGAGTAAGGTTTCTTTGGACCAAAAATTTTGTAGTATCAGGATCTGGTAAATAAAGCGGATCACTGGCTATTTCCAAATCTTCTATAGTCTGTTGCATTGTCTCCACTTCACGATCCATTTCCCTGCGAACGCTAAAACCATAGGGTTTTTTTTTCATTTTATTCATATTAGCTACAAGTAATATTTTAAAATAAACAGCATTACTTTTAAGAGAGAAAAAAATGAACTTACTCCTGCACGCTTGTCCCAATATTTGTTAAAAATTCTTCCAGCTGTTCAGAAAGGTTTTCTGAGCCCATTTTAAAGAAGTTTATCTTTCAAAAGAAAATTCAGATACTTATCAATTGACTTGGAACTTATAAAAGTACATTTAATCTTAGATCTTTCTTTGGAAGCTAAAAATATAATCCACCTTTGTAGATGCAGATCATAAATCAGTTCAATCACAACTAACGGTTGTGACTAACGGTTGTGACACAACTAACGGTTTTTCTATTAACAAATTACACTTATATGCTTACTTTTCTTCAGAGAGGTTAACAATTTAGTCCTGATTTATTTGGCTCAGGTCAAGCTTATTTATTTGTTAATCAAACTAATTTGGCCCATCCCACACAAGGTTCATGTTTAAGTTTACTAGTGTTTTAATACTTTGGATGCTAAATGTAAATGTAACATTCCAACACCTCCCCTCCACCATGCATTATGGAATTTACCTGAGCCTGCATATAGCCTAGTAAGGGTTCCAACATAGCAATTTTCTTCTTATACTGCAGTGTATTTAATGCACAGAAGTAATGCATCGTAGTCTGATGTTGTTTCTTCCGAGAAGTATATACATCTTCTGTAGCTTCATATTTGACCTTAAAAAAAATTCTAATTCAGAGCAAGCACAATTTACCATTAAAAGGAACAATTTCCTTGCAATGATGTGAAAAAAATATAAATTCATATATTTTTCTTTCAAAGTACATTTTCTCTTCTACTCATTCTCTACAGAGGGGAGGGGGTGAGAGAGAGAGGGAGGGAGGGAGGGGGAGGGGGAGGGAGAGATGCAACACTGCTACTGCTGAGATCTCCATTTTGCCAGTTAATGGGGAAGATGTATAGAAGGATATCCCACTGAATAAAGACACTCATAACACTGGACAGGAACATATAGCTATATATATTTCATGAAAGATTAGTTTCATTCACTAGAATTATCATGTAATTTTTAAGATAACTGAAAAGCAACTTAGACTTTTTACATTACCGTATGAATTCTAAATACTGGATTAAAGTTTAACAAACCTTCTCATTTTCTCTTTTTTTTGACAGTCGACTATATCTGGTAATCGCAGCATCATGATCTGAAAAAACAAGTTCTACAATATTTAAACAGTAGCTATAATCATACAAATGTTTAAGGCAAAAAGCAACTACACTTCAGTGAAGCAGTAATTCAAGCAATTGGGCTAATTTTGCTTTTTTCAACGAAACAATAAAATCTGTTTCCAGTAATTTCAGAAATGTTTTTATCGTTTCAAGATAAACAAAATCTATTATCCTGATGCACTGATTATATCAATACGATATCCTCTTTTTATAATGTCCCATTAGAACAAGAGTTTATTTATCATAATTTTTTCCCAATTACCTTGTATACAGTTATCTAGGGTTAGTTTCCCTTTTAATTTTTAGAGTGAAAAATAGCTTTTCTTTAAATAGCAAAATTAGTCTTTGGAGACAGAAATTCCTTCATAAAATGCTAATCTTTACTGTTTATACTATTATAATCATGCAACATCAAATAAAAAATAAACCATGAAATTAATTTCTAAAGCATACTTTACCATTGCTGGAGATCTGAAAAACCTCTTTTAAAGTCAAAATTTCTGAAATGAATTTAAGAAAATGTGCAGTGTTACTGTAGTTCTGCTGTTTTAATATAAGCTGAACAAAATTTGGTTTATTTATTATAGGTCTTCAGTTGGCCTGCATTTCAGGGACCACATGAATTGTTTTGTAGTAAAAAAAATAATTCTTTAAAATTATGGGATTATATACAATGACTGAGCTGTTTCTTCCTCTGTTTTCTCCTACACTTCTCTGAAAAGCCTTTCTCCCAATGTCAGAACTGTCTTTTAAATGCCATGTCATTTGAGATAGTAAATGTGCTGTGGCAGAACCTAACTATATGATTTTTTGAGGGATTCATAGGGTTTGGCAGAGAAATACAAAGAATTTTTAACAACTAAATGCATCCCATAGGTCAAAACACAATAGCAGTACAATTGTACTCAAATATAATCCTATTACTTCAGTAAAACATGCACAGGATTACAGTTTCATATTTCAAAAGGATTAATACAAACAGATTACTAATATATAAGTATACAATTCCATTGAACTCAAGGGACTGGAGCACTCCGTTCTGCTCAAACATACTGGACAGGCAGAGATAGATTCGCCCCCCCCTTTCTGCTCTCCACCCATTCATCTTTTTTGGGGGGGGGGTTATCGTATAGATATATTCTTATTGTGTTCTTTTTCATTGTTTACTTTATTGTTCTATTATCTTCTGTTCTGTTTACACTCTTTTCATTTCTTCCTTTTTATTGTTGTAAGTCACCTAGAATAGCCTACTATTTCTGAAATAGGCAGTAAATAAATTTAACAAATAAAATAAATTGGAAACAAGAGGTCCCTCAAATAACCAGACCCTATGCTTTATAGGTGGCAACCAGCACCTTGAATTGCCCCCAGAAAACCACTGACCATTGCAGTTTGTGCATATGGGTGTAACATGAGATATTTATTACTGTTTATGTCACTGCATTTTGTTCTCATTGTAGTTTCTGGATAGTCTAGAAGGGCAACTTCATATAGAGCACACTGCAATAATCCAATCCTGAGGCAACCAGGATATAAATGGCAATCTGAAGAGCCTCCTGGTTGAGGAAGGATGCAAGTGGCACACAAAATAAACCTGTGCAAAGTTTCACCTGGGCATAGCAGATGAGCAGCAGCTGGGAGTTCAGGAGAGTTCCCCCAAATTAAGTACCAGTCTTTCCAAGGAAATACAGTTCTTTCCAAGAGCAATGATGGAAATGCCTCCACCAAAGGGGCCACTTAGTCTATTTTATTTACCCCATTTTTCAGCCCCTAAATGGATGGATGGATGGATATAGGTAGACAGACAGACAGACAGACAGACAGACAGACAGACAGACAGACATGACATAGGGATTGGCAATGTAACCACTCCAGATCTGCTCACTATTTCTCCCAGCATCTCCCATTATCAGTCTTGCTGCCTTGAGACTGCTGGAAGATGTAGTTCAGCAACTTCTGCAGGGCAACCACTTATACACTCTTAACTTTTATCATTTCCTTTTTCCTAAAACTGTTTTCAATGAGACAAATGTTATTCAATTTGCATTAGACTTCAGGAGGCCACTATAGATGAAATAAATATTAACTATTGTTATATAAGACATTGTCCAGCAATCTGTTATCTTTGCGACAATTATTGTACCTTTTAGATCTCTTTCTTTGAACTGTGTGATGGGAAACATCATGGCATCTGCTAATTGAGTTGATAGTACCGCATGACAAGAACTGAGCTAAGAAGAAAAAAACAATTAAGTACACAATGTTGCCTAAAAATATAAACATTTCTCATATTTCACTGTTGTTACATATGTTAACAATGTCAATTGAAGCATGGGGTGTAGAAGCAGCAGAGCCTGGATTTTTATATCTGTTCTTTTTTGCATAAATAGATAAAAATATTGTTTAGCATTATTTTAGCCTGATGTAATAATTTATTACATTCAAATAAGACCCAAAGAAGCCAATGTGACAAACCATGATATAACTTTGGTTTATAATCCTAATTTTTAGGCAGAATATGTCTGCATTTTGATATCCCCATTGAGAAAGGGTTGGTGCCTGCCATTAGGATTATGCCACTCAAAAAATGGTTTGTTGGGATCACTGTGTATTGTTTGAGAGAAAGGGAGATGACCTTGACAGCAATATGAAAGAACTAATATATAAGCAAATAGGGTTGAACATTCCTTAAATCCTAGGAAGCAAGATTGTATTTGGAAGAGGTCCAGACAAGCTCTTTCCTGATTCACTGAAGTATAGAAAGAAGAGGAAGTAAAATATAATCAAGCTTATAAGATTTTATTATTGTAGCCTATCTCAATAAAATATAATTCTTATTCTCTTGTAGAGTTGATGTTATGGCCTAGTCTACATAGTGTAACTGACAGTTTCCATGGTGTGAAGGTTGTGGACATCACATGTCATGTGTAGAACCTGCTTGACAATGATGCAAAAAAGGCAGCAATCACAGCTCACGCTAGCAGCAGTGACATTGGAATGTATAATTAGCCAGTTCTGGAAACCAAATTTAGACTCCTAAGTAGAAGATCAAAACCAGGAACACCAAGACTACAGTCTTAGAAATGCTGTCTGTTCCATGTGTGCAGCCAACCAGATAGGCAGAGCTCAGAGCTCTCAATTCAATTATGGCAGGATGGCTCCAGATGGAGATGCTTAGATTTGTTAGTCACTGGGAAACACTTCAAAACAAAACAAACCTGCGTAAAAGGAATCTAGGCTATTGGCACACAAAATCTAAAAGGTGACAGACCAGTTTTTAAATTGATTCCTGGAAGGAAATCAACAGGTAGTGTAGAGGTCCCCAACCTTTTGGGCACCAGGGACCGGTTACGTGGAGAGAGGTTTTTCTGTGGACCAAAGGGGTGCGTGGTTTTGTGTGCTGCCTGCATCCTGTGGATGGGGCTTTCCTTATTTGCGCAGACTGGTTGCTGGCATGCTCCATGGACCAGGGGTTGGGGACCCCTGGATAGTGGGTAACAATCAATTCAGAATGGTATAAACATTTTTTAAAAAAATAGGATGAACATGGATGCTGAGTGGTCATGAAAACCAGAAGATAAAATGAGAATAAGACAGCCATGAAAAAAACCTAAGCCAACAACTCTTCAAAATTAAAAAAAAGGAACAGGATGCATAGTTGTTTCAATTCAGTGCTAGAAATCTGCAAAGAATGTTGTAATTCTTGTAATAATGGGGAACTTTGATTACCCTAATATAAACTAGGTATGTTTGTGCTTAGGTTATGACAAAGAGATCATAATAATGATCCCTTAGAACAGCTGATCTTGTACCCAAGTAGAGGGAAGGCAAGCCTAGATTTGATTATAAAGGGTATTATGGTTTAAGTATTGTGGAACTGACAGGAAACAATAATCATAATACAAACATACAAACAGAAAGCATACAAAAAGAAAGCTGCGCTATCTGCAAAATCTAGGCACTTTGATTTGGAAGCTAAGTAAAACTTTGATCCTGTATGGGGCAACATTTCTGCAGATGGAGGTGATATGTAACAAATCTCTCCTCCTGAACTCATGGCTTCTGTGTGAACAGCAAATACATTTGCAAAGTTACATCTTGTGTACTAATTATGGACAGTTCAGAAGTAGAAGCCTTTACTCATTTCATTGTTACTCATTCCACTGTCACTTTGTGGATGGATTATCCCAATGTATACAGAATGGCAACATTTTCTGAGAGCCACAAAAAAGGATCTTCTGAAAAGCATTTGGGAAGTAATGAGATTATATTACCCTGAATAGTGAAGCCTCAGATTGATTGGCTATAATGGTATTATTTCTGTTTTTTAGTCTTTGATTTTAATATTGTAAACTGTTCCGTCTTTAGAAATGGAGTGATATAAAAGTTACATCCATGGAAAATAGGCTGGTAGATTTTTAGAAGGGAAGACTTACCTCATCTATCACTTTGGCAAACTGCTGAAGAGTAGAATTCATAACTTCATCATCACCACCCAAAGGAAAGCGCTACCAAAACAAAACCCGACTACTTTTTAAATTCCATATTTATTGATTTTTTCACTCTAAAAAATCACAGTAACATTCCAAAGGCCTAATAACATCTACATATTTAACACTGCTAGAAAATAGAGAATCTCAGAGCACTGTAAGTTGCTAATGCCTGTTAAATTTATATATATCGTGTTGTTATATTTAAAAGGTATAGAAAATACCTGTTGGCCAGGGAAATTGTGCGCGTGCACTCACACAGACACATTCGCACATCCACAAAGTCTAGTAAATCATGGTGTTAAATTAAAATATGACCTTTTGATAAAAAAAACAAACATTTGTCTATTTATGGCAGTTTCAACATTTTTATCTGCTTTCCCCTTTCTGTGTTTCTATTTGTTATTTTCTGGTTTCTGTTGTTATGGATAGATAAACCTCTCATGTTTTAATTAGTCCATGCATGTTTTAATGTCTTAGTTGTTTGTAAGCTACCAAGAGGCATTTGATTGTTGCAGGATAGATATGTGATAAATGTGTGATCTTAATAATAAGAACTGAGCAGAAATAAAGTGTAAGAGGTCTTGTAAGAATAAGAAAGTGGAAAAATGAATTTAATTTCTATGTGCTAAGCTACTGTTAAAACATATAGGAGGAATTTATATAAAATGCTACAAACTAGGAAAAAACAGGTTAGGGAAGTCTGTAATTAATTCTCAATGCTGGAGAATCCAATCACTATCCCGATACGTTGTAAAAATCAGGCTGCCACATTAACCCATTCAATTTGGATCAGAACACAGCATTTTCTTTTTATAAGTGATTCTACCTGCTTCTCATATTCTTTTAGAAGCTTCGAAGTCAAATGTGTTGCCGCACTGAGTTCATTCTGAAAAAGAGAATTTATTCTGATTTTAAAAAGATTTTTCAAATATAAATGACAACAGAAGTACAATATAAAATAAATTAATTAGAGTTAAACAGTGTTTCTTTAACTAAATGTATATGCTTTTGTAACACAATTATAATTTCCCATTTTTAAAATGGAATGATTGCAGACAGAGTCATAGAATAGCATACACACTTTTAAAACAGTAAGCATGCATTTATCTAAACAAACAAAAATTAATCAAATTCCCAGAATTCTGAATGACCTATCACTCCTAATAGAAAATAAAATCACTCTCTCTAATAGCAAAAATTAAACTGCACTAAAAGATTTGGAAGTAAAGTCAACAAGCAAAAAGAAGAGTGCTGCATATCTGTAGGATCCTTAATCTGTGCAGATTAGATTCAAAATTGCTTACAGAAGAGAGAAAGTTTTTAAGAGTAAATGCAAATGTAGGTTTTCATGCAGGAAGCTGAAGGGAGGCCACAAATTATCAACATTATCTTAAACTTGCACACAGCTTAATGATAGGCTGTTTTTGTGAGATAAAAAATATTTCCTTGTTAATGACATATCTTGGGACATATATTCAGCATAAATCATCTTATCCTTTGGTTTACCTGTTGGGCAATCATAAAGGCTGACTGCTCAGGAGATAAATTAGACTGTTGCAGTTAGGCTTAAAGTGGGGTTTCCAATTTGATGTTAAGATTTATTAAGAATCTGTCCAACATAACCATATTATGCAATACATATAACAACTTAAATTATTGCATAAAAATCCTTACACCTATATATATTCTTGTTAGAAACTTCTGAAGAATTTATAAGCTATTTATCAAATATTAAAGAAAAAGTGTATTTCTTTTTTTTTTCCTTTTCCTTTTTTTTTTTTGACATTCACATATATTTCCAACCAGCTACTAAAATCCCAGGAATTAAAATTTGGTTCCAGGTAGTCTTCGATTTACAACCACTCATTTAGTGACTGTTCAAAGTTACAATGGCACTGAAAAAAATGGCTTATGATCATTTTTCACACTTATAACTGTTGCAGCATCCCCATGGTCACTTTATCAAAATTCGGATGCTTGGCAACTGGCCTATATTTATGATGGCTGCAGTGTCCCGAGGTCATATGGTCACCTTTTATGACCTTCTGAGAAGCAAAGTCAATTGGGAAGCCACATCCACTTAACAACCATGCTACTAATTTAACAACTGCAGTCATTCACTTAATAAATGTGGCACGAAATGTCATAAAAAGGGATAAAATTCACTTAACAACTGCCTTGCCTGGCAATGGAACTTTTGGGCTCAAAAGTCAACAACTACCTGTATAATCATATCAGTGATAAAAATGTGGAGAAATGATTTAAAGTTAATTAATTTCTGCATTTTACAGTCAAATTACCTGTGCATCATAAATTCGGTGCATAGCTTTATACAACTGGTTGATATATCTGGAAATTGCAGCAGCATCTTCTTCAAATACACCCAGCAAAGATCGTGTCTAAAAAGAAAATAACATAAATTTTATAATATTGCAAGTACACTATTGCAGCTACATTTAGTAAAG